CACGCTTTTCAAAATCTACGAATGGTACAACTCAATCACAGGTTTGTTAATAAAAATTTTTTCTTTCTTCTAACTCAATATGTACGGTTAAAGTGTAAATGTTGACACGTGCTTCACTTAAAGTTTATCTACTGAATACCGACAATCAATAAGATATCGATTCTATTAGAATATAAATCTTTGATGATTTTCATTTATAATTATCAACGAAAAGTAGCCGAATAAGTACATTGATCTTTTTCAAAAATACTATACATTTGAATAACAAGGCTCATTTCACAGAAATTAATCCTTTTTGTAGTAATGCATTACAGTGCTTAAGGGATTACTAGTAATCATATAGTAACTACATATAGCCAGTGACATTCTTGATTAGTAAACTGTAACTGAACATTCCTAACAGAAATTAGAAAAATGAGTTTCAAATGTGTACTCATAAAAATTTTCATGACCTTAGAAAGTTTTTTTCAATCCTCGCATACAGAGAACGAGTGAGTGATTTGAATGATGACTCATGTGTCAAGTGAAAGAAGAAGTATTAATCAGAGTAACTATATAATTGCAAAAGCAATAAGTGGGCTGCTGCATTTCCTACAGTCAGTTGTCTTTTAAAAAAAAGTATCAGAAACTATTAAACTGAAATTCTTTCATCCAATAAAAACTTTCTGTATATGAATATCCTCTATCCGCGAGATGTCATAGTATTTTCTATACTATTTATAGTCAAGGAGAAACAATAGGACGTATGTTAGTAATAAGCAGATTGAAAGTATGGATCCCTATTTCTAATATAAAATAAATAAAGCTTATTTTTAACAATGAAAATTTATTAAAAACTTATCTAGAATTTTTTTTTTTAAGGACAATCCAAATTTAACACAAATTGGTACAATAAGTCAACCATATCCAATATCACAAAGTGGTCTTATGTCTCAACATGCTTATGGTCTATCGCAACAAGATTTTTCACAATCAGTATTGAAATTCTTTTTTTCCGTATATTTTTAATTAAAATTTTGTTTTTTTTTTTTCTTTTTATTTTTCGTTGATAGGATGCCTATGATGTTTATCAACCATCACAAAATGAACATCATCAATTATTATCTCAAGATTCTACATATGCTGATCCATCAGTTTTTATGAATTCTCAATCATTAACGAATCCAAATCGACATGGAACAATTAATCGAACTGATTATGCATAATTTTAATTTCAATTCAATAATCAATTAATGATTTATATAAAGTTCATTAAATGTATTGATCAATGAATTTCACAGAAAAAGAAAAACAACACAATGCTTATCCGAAGATGATAAATAATGGCAAATATCAAGTTGAAAAAAAAAAGATTTTTCTTTTTCTGTTCATGCCAAAAAAAGACATTGAAACATAAATCCACCCGCTTGATCTCTTTTTAAATTGTTTTTCTTTTTTTTTTCTTGGAACGAAAAAAAACATAAGAAATCAAAATTTTCTTTAATTCTAGATGAATTGTGTAGTTTGTAAAAATGATTCATCTATGCAATTTCAATGTTCTTCTTATAACAAACATTGTTGATGTGAATCATATCGTACAAATATAACTTCAACAATTATTAATACAGTCTATTCGTCATGAAGTGTATCTGCTGGTCATTAAAAATATGCATATACATCTGATGATTGTATGAATGGTGTCTTTTTATTATTTCTTTTCGTCTTCTATATATATTGATACAAACGAAGTTCTAATTGATACAATATATCTTCTAGATTTTATTAGTTATTAGAGTAATGTTTGGTAAGAAACCAACTGTTACAGGTAAATGACTAATTTTGTTTTTCTTTTTTTATATGCATATCAATATTTTTTGTTTTTTGAATTCAAGAACAAGCAAAAGCTCATAGTCGAGAATTAAGAACAACTGATCGAGAGTTAGTACGCGATCGACGTAAACTTGAGGCTGAAGAACAACGATTAGTAAGAGAAAATAATTTCTGCAAGTACATATTTATTGTTCTTTTTTTTATTTCTTCTATATATAGGTTAATGAAATTAAAAAGAATGCAGCGACTAATAATAAAAAAGTAAAAAATATAACAGAAAGTTATAAGAATATTTTATTAATAATAACTTATATCATTCTTTTTCTTAGGCAGTAGAAATCTTAGCTAAACAACTTGTTAAAGTTCGAAACCAAAAAACAAAATCACTTGAAGCATCTGGTCATATTCAAGGTTTAGCTACGCAAAGTACGATGATGGCATCAAGTGTTCGCATGGCTGATGCAATGGGAGTTAGTTATTTCACTTTCTTTTTATTTTTAAATAAACGTTATTATTTAGACAACTGCGAAAACCATGGCCAAAATGAATAAAGTTATGAATCCAGAAGAAATGTCTAAAGTTACACAACAATATGCTCAGGAACATACGAAATTAACTATTACAGACGAAATGAGTATGTATTAAAGTACCGAGACACATAAAGATCAATTTTAATCCACTTAGTTTTTTCTCAGAAACAAGTGTATAAATGACCATGTCATGTAGTGCATGGACTGCCGCATCTAACCATGTATAAGCATTGGTACAAAGTCTTAAACTAACAGTACTTATATCCGTTACACGCTTGACTATTATTATAAGATTTCTTTAGGTTGGGACCTAAGAAAAGAGATGTTGTTTCTAACTATAAAGTGTAACTTGTACTGAATTCTACTACTCAACCTTGCCATATATCTCAGAAAATAAAGATGAACATATCGTCAAAATTTGCTCAGAATAATCTATAGCCACATGTTTGGTATCGAAACCCTTTGGTTCGGATAGGTAAAAGTGGTCATTTTTTGAATAATATTTGCCAATTTTAATTAGGTTTGTCACTTTTCTAGTTAAAATAGACATTATAGTTGGGCTCAACATCAAGAACTGACTCTATCTATATGTATTTCAAATTGTTTGAATAACTTGAATTTTCATCAAAAAATTCACCTGCAGTCTCTCTCAGAGTTTAGTCAAAAAAAAGGATGTCAATCAAAATCTTATTTGAACAGTTGAAAACAAGTTCGGATCTTGTAAAATAATAATAATAGAATACAATAAGCCACATTACTACGCATTAAAAATGACATTAGAATTGACTTCATTTTTTTTTTTGATGAATTGTAAGAGGAGCCACGGTTGAATTTTCCGATAAAAATTCAAGCTGTTCAAACAATTTGAAATACATATAGATCCAGTTAGTTGTTAATGCTGATCTCAAATATAGTATTTGTTATAACTAGAAAAGTGACAAACCTGAAAAAAATTGGCAAAAGTCACTCAAAAAATGGCCACTTTTATCGATTTGAATAAAAAAGCCTCGACTTCAAACATGTGACTACACTTTTTCCTGAACAAAGTATACATGTTCTTGTAGTTCGTCACGTACTGTACTAATGCTGAAATTTTGATGATATTTTCATGTTTATTGTTGAGATATAAGGCGTTCAAAGTTGAATGATTACCGTAAACCCATCGATTTGAACTGTTCAAACATTCTTATCCGTTCATTCTCGACTCAATGAAAAATCATTTATTTAATGCTTTAGTAGTAAAATTCTGCTTCACTTACACTCTATTGTCAGAAACAGCATCTCTCTTCTTAGATCCTTAACTCAGAAAAATCTTATGATGATAGTCTAACTTGTAACGGACATAATTGCTCTTAATTTAGATTTTATACCGATACTGATAGATAGTTAGATTTGGCAGTTTATGCGCCACAAAATCTCATTATTTTTAGACTCTTGTCTGAGAGAAAATTAGATGAGCTGAAACTGCTCTTTATGCACTCGAGTCCTTTGATATCTTGTATATTATTAAAAGAATATTTTTTTTAGTTGGTGAAACACTTGAAGCAGCCTTGGGACAAGAAGGTGATTCTGAAGAAGAAGATGCCATTGTTAACCAAGTCCTTGATGAAATTGGCATTTCGCTTAATGAAAAAGTTTGATTAAAATTTTTTAAAATCGTTTTAAATTTAAGAAAAAAACCTTATTTTCATTTAGGTGGCTAATGCACCACGTGTGCCAGTAGCAGCCTCTAGTGTTGCAGCTACTCGTAGACAAACAAATGATGAAGATGCTGAAATCGAAAAAATGTTAGCAAATCTTAAATAATAATTCTATTTCCATGTTATTATTTTCTAAATCAAGATTTTTTTTTTTCATAAATTTTTTTTTGTTCTATTTATTTTACTATTTCTTCGTTGTCTTCATGATATATTCCAAATGTTTCATGTTTCGTTCAGTTAACACGTATACTGTATATAATGATTATTGTATTAAAATGTTATCTTTTGTTTTAAGTAACAAAGAAAATATTTCAATCAATTCCTCACTATTGAGCTAATAGTTTATTCATAAGTAGGGCTCTTGTGAAACTAAAAAAGTCTTAAAAGTGTTTGCAATAGTGGTGCGTTGGTCAGAATTTACAGTTGTTTTCATGAATTTTCATCTAGAACAAGACATTTATAGTGGAGTTCAATGAAAATGTTTTATTTTGAAATAATCTGAGAAGTCTTAGTATACAAGGAATACTTTCTTATCAGAATATAATACAATAATGACACCTATTCTGAAAATTCAATATTTTGAGGAGAAATGATTTCAAATCAAAATACTTTCATTTGACGTTGTTGTAGATATTTTTCTCTAGATCGAAAATTCAGTAAAACAGATGTAACTTAAGACCAATGGACTATCAGCACAAACAATTTTTTTTTAGTTCCATAGAGTTTTACTTAACAATAAAATGTTACTTTAAAAGTGAAGAATCAGTTGGGATATATCCCTCATCAGTTTCATTTACTTGTGAACGTGTGCGGATTTATTGTTTCATGTTGCCTATTCAGATTTTTTTTGTTACAAAGAAAAAAAAACATTATTTATCAACACACATAATATTAATTAAAACTAAATCTTATCTGTTTTATTTCTTTGTTTTTATTTTAATCATTAATGAAGTTTTTCTTTTTATTCAGCACGGACATCAGTAAGACTATTAATTAATTTATGATAACGTTCATCTTTGGTTTTTGCCTGTATTTGATTGAATTCTCGTAATTTTTCGATGGCTTTTTGTCGTTTAGTAGCTTCATAAATAAGACCGAATTGTTCACGAAATTCAGGACGAAATTGAACAAAATGATCAACCATTTCACTAAATGTTTCCTGTTGTATTGATTCATGTACTAAACGATCATATTCTTCACAATCAATTGATGTTGTCATAGGTACAATAAGTGTTGCACTATTAAATGAACATGAACTTGTTGATATTGCTGGTGGTGGTGGTGGACGTTTATGATGAAATGATGTTGATGAGGGACGATCGGATGTAAATTTATATCTTGATCTTGCTGCTGATTCATCAAGCAATTTTTGTGAAGCACGTAAAACTTGATGTGTACGTCGGTCAACTTTTGTCATTGGTTCAGCACGTGGTGTTATTGTTGATGTATTATGTTTTGTTTTTTTTGTTGGTATATTATTGACGGTTGGTATTTCTGTTGTTGTTGTTGTTGTTATTTCTGGTGTAATTTTTGCTTCTGCCGTTGTTGTTGCTGTTGCTTCTATTATTGTTGTTACTTTGATTGTCGGTGTTTCTCCTGTTGGTGTTGTAATTGGTGGTAGAACAATATTTTCAGTAATAAGTGGTTGAAATGGTGTATGAGCTCGTGGAATATAGCTTGGATTAGCGGCTACTAATAATTTTTGTCTATTACGTTCTTTACGTTTTTCATGATTTTCTTTTTCTTTTCTTAAAGCTTCACGAAAATGTTTATCATGTCGATACCATGTTTCATGACGTTTACGTGTTAAATGTAAAAATGTTTCCATATGTCGATCAACATTTGCACGAATTTTATTTCGTTCTCGATCAATAAATGTGAATTCACGATTGAGAAAATTTTGCTCCATTTTTTTCACATTTATTAATGCTTCAGATAAATTTGATGATGTTGAATGCGACACCATCATATTAACAGTAATGAAATAGTTAAGAATTCACGTCGAGAATTTCAATCAAATGAATACAAGGCACTAAGAAAATTCGCTGTGATTATATATTTTTTTATTTCAAAAAAATATGAAAATGAAGCCTTTTTTTCTTTTAACGAATTTCATCTGAAAAAAGGGTTTCGTTTTTTATTATAATGTCAAAAGAAAATAATTTGAATATTCATTGATTTGTATTAAAAGTATTATTTCAAGTGTGTTTTTTTCCCGTGGTGTTGTTGACGACCACTGTGATTAAAATGAAAAAAAAAAAAGAAAAGAAAATTAAAATGTTATATGGAAATAAAGAAAGAAGTGTTTTAAGAGCATCTTCAAATTATATCATTATGATTGATATGAATTGTTTATAGAAAATATATTTTGTGTTTTTGTTTTCTAATTATGTGTAAAGAGTTTATTAAAACAGATATGAAACTAAATCCTTGAACATTGATGATTTCATTTTATAGATGAATTCATTATTATTTCGTCGAGTCATTCAGCAACATTCTTCCATACGCGCATTGAATAATATTTCAATACGTTTCACTTCATCATCAACTGAAAATAAAACGCCAACTGACTCATCATCTATTGATCCACAATTTAAAAAAAGAATCGATGATTTTATCAAATCAAATAAAATTGCTATATTCATTAAAGGCGAACCAAATGCTCCTAGTATGATTCAAGGTTTTCCTTTTCTTTTCTTGAATTATTTTATCTTTTATTCACTTTAGGTTGTGGTTTTTCTAAAGCTGTTCTTCAAATACTTAATTTACATGGATGTGACTTTAAATCAAAAAATATTTTAGATGATCAACAACTTCGAGAAACAATGAAACTTTATAGGTTAAAATAAAAGAAAAAAAAAAGGAAATTATTTTATTTGAAATCTTTCTCTAATTAATTTAGTAATTGGCCAACTTTTCCTCAAGTCTATTTTAATGGAGAATTTGTTGGTGGTTGCGATATTTTACTTCATATGCATCAATCAGGTGAACTTGTTGAAGAATTAAAGAAAATTGGAATTCAATCTAAATTATCAGATGTCAACAAGGAGGCTACACCATCATCACCAACAAACTAATTATTTATTGATTAGTGTCCTAATTCACCTTTTTTTTCCTTCAATTTTTGTTTTCTTATATCTCAACGTGCATTTGTTTGAATTTGTACCATCTAAAACCAAGAAAAGAATGAAAAAAAAAGACAATATTATATCTTGGTTTGTTATAAATGTTCCCAAAAATGAACTGTTTTGTTCTTGACTACAGTCATACTTATTATATACAATTCGATAAATACTAATTAATTCATATATTAAGTAGAAACTCTTCCACAAAGAACAATAGGTTCTTTTTCAATTGCTTCGTTTTCTCTTCCTCTGGTATTATTATTATATATACATCTGAATGTCATTGTACGGGTAACAGAATCAAGTATACTTGGAAGGACATGTTATATATTATATTTGGATATTATTTTGTACTTATTTCAAAATAACCGATTTTGATGATATTGAGGGAATACAAACAGCAATGAAATGACGAAGAAGAACATCTCTCATTTGATAACTCAAAAATTCTTTGTGGGCCTTCATTCTATAGATTTTTATTCGAAAGAACGTGTCAGGATGCAAACCATGACAGAGCTCTTTTTTCTTAGTCTTGCTTTTTAAGAAAAAGTTTAATTCGAAAAAAGGCCTATTTCATGCTCTATATCTTGACACTCTCTTTCTAACAAAAGACAACCATTGGCTACAATGAAAGTTCTTCCAAAATCCTGGAATATGTGATTAAAAACACACTAACAGAGAAAAAAAAGAAAATGATTTTTCGCTTTATATTACAAAATCATGTTTGTCAAGCAGAAAATGACAGAAATCTATAAAAAATATCGTCTCATCCATCGATCTTAAGTTTCATATATTTGGGGAAAATTGAATTATTGTTGAAGGAAGCGAGCAATAATTGTTTTCAGTCTGAGACTAAAGTTATGCCTAAATATGGCTTTTTTGAAAGCTGATTGTTTCCCGTAGTTGATAAACTTCACCGATGGTTACCCTCTTTGTTACCAATAATCGGCGAAGACGTCACTCTAAGTCGGGGCGGCAATCTCATTCCATTATTCGAGTTCTACATGCACATAGTCCTACCTCCGTTATTATGAGACATAAAATACCGTGCGCGATGAGTGTTTTTATGATATTATCTATATGGATAGCTTGAGCAATCGAACGAGAATCTATAGTGACATTGGAGTTCCAGTTCAGAGCTAAATCATCATCGATGATTGATGACAGAATGGATGACCATTTTTGAAGATTATCGGTTATAGAAGGCAATCGGCTTTCAAAAACGGCATGTTTAGGCATGTCTTCAGTATAAGACAGAAAAAAGATTGAATAGGATATTTTTTTCTTCGTTGCATTGCTGTTTCGTTTTCTAAATATCGTCAAAATGGGTTTAAATGTTTGGAGTAGTCTGTCTTGGTTATTTACACAAGATTGCATTAATTCAAGTCGGTTATCGAAATTCATTTTTCTTGCTAGGGAGTACATGATCTTGGTTATGACAAGATGCAAGGATTGTGAGTTGCTTCAATCAGTTAGATTCCGTTTGATCAGAGCGAAAAACCAAAAATTAGGCAGTGTTAGGTTCGGAGAATTCCGCGGTTGTTGAACAATTTTAATATTTTTCGGTTAGAAATAATCCGAAACCTCTTGATAAATATGCAATATGACATTGTCATGGTGAAATATTTGACATATCTACCACACACTAATCTTGTTGTCTGAATTTCCTTGATTAGTCGTTTCAGGCAATCATCGATGTTTTGTTCTTGTTTAACGCGATAGATTTGCTCGGGGCCAGTCGTTTTGAAAAAGATGCAAAACAAGGTTTTAGGAGCAAAGTGGTTACGTTAAACCGCACAGTAGACAGTGTTCCATCGATTGGTTTCCACGCAGCATTCGATGATGTCCAACGAATTTATTTATGATAAAATCATAGGACGTCATTTCATTACATTCTATAATCGCCATGTTCCTTGTTTAAGTTCGCTAAATTTTCTTGAAAGAACTAAACCAGTCCAGCTCGTTGGTTATCAGTCAACAAATTAGATACTCAGTGTGGACAGTATTTCTTTCAGCTTCAGCTAGTCAGAAATGATTCGTTTAATGGTGATGCAATTCATACCAGTTGCTACTTGTATTTTATCAGTAAAGCATCGAATTCCTTCAATATTTTTAAATACTCTTTCGACTAAAAGTTGACCAAGTCATGGTTGCTCTTAAATCTCTTTTCGATTTTCGCGAAACAGTTTTGACCGTCTAGTAACTGTATTGTAACGTGAAGCCTGATTATTGAAAACAGAATATAATTCATCAAAAATCGGTTTCGATTGAATATAAAATGCAGTTCTCACTTCAATGTCGAAACAAAAATTTTCCTTATTCATTTAAAAGTACAGCTTTACAGCTCACATTGAACTTCTCATATGATAACGGGTGCGCCAGATATAATAGCCACGCTTTGCATTTCAATTTTCATTCACTTAATATATTGTAATAAAAAAAAAACAAAATATACCACAAGATGCAATGTGAAAAACTCTAAAATTTACAGGAGCCCGCTCATTTTATACGTGACTTTTGGGTTTTCAAAATGGGCAAAATTCTGAGCGAACCAATCTCAATCCGTGTGAAAGTCGGTCGTACAACATTTTGCTGTTTTTGAACACAATTACAATAAATTTTACTGTATAAATTGTAGAGCTTCTCACGCTGCATCTTGTGATATATTTTGTTTTCTTAATGCAATATATTAAGTGAATGAAAATTGAAATGCAAAGCGTGATCATTATATCTGGCACAGTCGTTATTATTATTTGACTAATGATAAAATACTGCTGACGCTTTGAGCACTTCTACTGCTGCGAGCATATATGAACAGAATGTTTTTTCAAATTTTCTATACTTTGATGTAATGTGAATCTCATTACTTTCGGTATGTCTTACATATAATATGTACCGACAAATGTAGTTTACTCGGTTACTTATACGATGACATACAAATGTATATACAAGGATACAAAAGGAAGGGAAAAAGTAACTTATTTTGTCCTTGGACAATTAGATAAGTCTTTGATATTGAATTTATCAGGAAGTAAAAGTTTTTCATTTCGTATCATTGTCTAGAAAATAATACGTTTTGTATTTGGATGTGGTTCAACAGGAATTTTATCAATAACACAATGAACAATATAATTGACAAGTGATTTTCGTTTTTTTTTGACATTTTCTTCCATCTGTTCTAATAAATGATGTCTTTCTATGTTAAGTTTTGCTTGAAATTGTTCAAGTTGTGTTGCTTCATGTAATTTTTTTCTATATTGAGCTTCACGTTCTTGTCGAAATGCTTCGATTTCAGCTTGACTCTCTTGATTTGATTGTCGCATTAATTCATTGCGTTTTGCACGTGCTGTTGCAATCATTTCGGCAGCACGACCTTCGGCAATAAACAATGCTTGAAGACCAGGTTCCATTTGAATTGTTGAATGACCATTTGAAGTATGTTGAGTTCGAGAATTTGAAGAACTTGAACCACTTGTTGATCGCATACTCGTACGACGTGATGAAACAACGATCTGATTGACTGCTGATGAAGGAGATAATAGATGAACTGGTGGCTCTTGAGAAAGCTTTTTATGATTCAAATTAGCCATTCGTCTTGATGAAGTATTATCAGTCATTTTATTCATAAAGAATTAAGAGTTTTTTTTAGCGCGCTTATGAATGTACTTATGTTAAGATGAAAAGAACAAAAAAATTCTTTCAATAGATGACAGCATTAAACAGTTTATTTCTAAGAAAAATTACATTTTTTATTCAAATATTTTAGGATTTTCGAATATTATTATTGTTTTATTATAAACTTAAACAACATCATTCATATATTTACTAATGATTGAATATATCCACTTCATATGTTATGTTTCTATGGAAACAGTTGATAGTAGTGCGTCAGATGACAACTGATTAAAAGAAAAAAACGAACAAATTTCTTAATCTTTGAACGTATATATATATATAATCAAAAATAAATAATTCTATTCAGCAATGGATAGATTAATGGAATACACTCATACTATGTCGAATTTTGATTCTGTTTACAATATTTCCCCCAAACTTATTCATCAATCTACAACGTATATTCCTATATCTTCATCAATAACTTCGTCAATACTTTCAAATAGATCATCATCACCATTATTTCGTCGTTGTCAATCTCCTCCTTTGAGACGACCAATATTAACTGAATCAGGTCCAAAATTTAATTTTGATTTATATAAAAGGGATCAAAATGATGATCAATTTGATAAGGATTCTTTATCTTCTTATCGTTCGTTATCGCCAACTTCTTCTAGAATAATTTATCATCATCCAATACATTCTCCTCGATCATCTTCACTTTCTAATTCATATGCACTATCCAAATTACAACAAATTAATGATGAATTATGTCAGACACTTGCTCAAACAGAATTAACTGATCGATCACCAGTACATTATCATATCCATCATTATCCATTATCTCAACATTCACCTAAAAAATATCGTTCTCGATCAATAAGTGAAGAACGTTCATCGTCAACTGAATTAGAAGTGGTAATTTAAACCAAATAAAATATTTCCTATCATCATTTTTCTCCTTTTTCTATTTAGTCACCAAAAATACACAAAGCTCGAGTTACATACAAAATTCATATTCCACGACGACATCAACAATCTTCTCGTCATAGGTCACCAGCAGATGTTTATTCCAATGATGAGCCGAAGTTTGTTGATTTATATCCAACACGAGATCAAGGTTTCGTAAAGCAGATAAGAAAAAATTCAGACAATCAAAGTCCATGGATTGTAAATGGTACGTCAGTTCGACGTTATTCTTATTCTGATACAAATACATCACAAGTATCCGAAACACCAAGAGGACCATACTATGGTGATAAACCAATTAAATCACATCGTCGATCGGTTCGTGGCAAAGGTTTACGATGATATAGAGTAGAACATAGAGATATATATATCTATATTTTAGAACGTCCATCATCGAGTTCACGTTATCAATCACCTCCAGTTACATCTCGTAATCGTCCTGATTCTGCTCCATTTTATGCATCAGATGAACATCAAGAATCGAATGCTTCTTTTTCTAATACTCTACCTATCCGACGACCGAATAGTTCTATTAAACAATCAGAACATATTGATTCTCGTATTCCATCGTCAAAATCTAAATCATCACTACATGAAACTTCTCGAAATTCAACTGACGTCATGCATAAAACAAAACATATTCGTACATATGATCCTCATAATGAATCATCTTCATCCAGAACACGTAGACCTATATGGCATCCTTCATCAAAAACTGTTTCTGGAAAGCCACCAAAATATTTTGAACTTTCTTTAAAATCAGAGTACGATGTACCAACTGGAAAACGTATCATTGATGAAACAGAATCAGAACCAGTATCTCAACGAAAAACAGTATCAAATCGAACAAAAACTCGTCATGAAGATTCAAACCTTAAAAAACGTAATGCTACTGTTGACAATCAAGTAAAATCAGCATGGGAACCAACAGTGAATGGTTTATCAAAATCAACTGTCAAAGAACCTAAACCATCAACAACTACAAATGCTGATCAAAATTCTTCACATAATGAATCAACAAAACCAATGATTGAGCCAACATCAAAAAATCAAAAAACAGTAGATAAACATGATGAGAGTATTCAAGTTTCCTTTGAAAATGAATCAACAACATCAGAACGATCAAAAAATCAAGACTCATCTCATCCATCACCTAGCATAGAAAAGCCACCAACGCCACAACCACCAAGAAAACCATCAACTGAACTTCGTATGTTTGCTTTTATCTTGATCTTGATTGTGGACATTTCTCTTTAACATCGAAGGAAAATAAAGTCTGCACAGTAGAATCGGGAGCGAGAGACACAAAAGGTCACAATGCGAAAAGGACGAAGGAACACAGCAAAAAACTGACCACATTTTCGAAACATATGACAATAGATAAAGTAAGAGAATCGGTGTAGGTGGCTCGATTGAAGAATGACTATTAGGGTATGGATGTTTGAATCTTCACTTCAGCCACACATCCATAACTTTATTTCGTGCTAATTTTTCCTGAATTGTCCAAAAAAGATCTCCACGATCGAAATGTAGTTCTTAATACTAATATTGTATTTATTTTCTAGCAAAAACAACTGACGGTGCATTAATACGTAAAAATAATACAAATAATATTCATGATGAAAATCAGCGTAAATTTTTATTTTCTAATAATCTAATATAAAAACAAATTATTATTTTATTTAGCATCTTTACCTACAGCCGATGCTAATAATAATAATAAAATTACTGATAACAAGGAAGAAAAATCCGATAGTCAAAATGAACAACCAAGATTATCACCAAGTTCTTCACCTAAAATTTCCACATCTAAACGAAAAAGTAATATCATTCATTTTTATCAAATATAAATGTATTTTTATATATTTTTTTTTCGCTAGCCCCATCACCAAAATCAAATAATAAAAATGATGAACTAATAAATGATAATGATCGTGATGAAAATGATGAAGAAGTTGCAAATAGTTTTGACGTTAATAAATGGCTTGATGATGCATCAAAAGCTATCTTAGGTCCTTCACGAAAAGATGATACTGTTATTCCTTCTCAACCACTTCCAAAACCTACAGTAAAAAGTCCACCTCGTCGAAAACAACCATCACCATCACGATCTTCTGAAGCTTCAGATCAAGATTTATATAATCCTCCATTTGGTCCAAAGAGAAAAAATCAACAACCAGCTATTCCTCCTCCACCACCACCTCAACCAACGACAACAACAACTACAACAACAGCAGGTGAAACAAATGAAGTTGATGATTTTTTTAGTTAATATTTCCTAGACATCTGACAAGAGAATTTCTTTTTATTTTTTAACTAAATGTGTGCAAAATGTATGCCAGACAAAAATTGGCTACATATTATCGTTTTTTTTTCTAGATTTTAATATGACAAAAGAAAAAAAAAATAATAATAATAACAATAATAAACTGAATCAAATCAATCTCTTTTGCATGTTTTCTTTTTCTCTTAATTCCTAATGAACAAAATACATTGATGATTTATTTATTTGAAAAGCATCAAGTAATTGTTGAGCTTCTGTATGATAATGAAATTTTGTTAGAAGACCACTTAATTGTGTTGGATGCATTGTATCAGTTATTTGAATTGTAGAGGATGATCGATTTGTTCGTAATGTATATATAGCAGATATAATTGCTAATTTTTGTCGACATTCATCAATACCAATAAGTCGAGCTGAATTATCATCAGTATGTAAAGGTGATAATGACTATTGTTGAAAAGAAAGAAAGATTAAAAACAAAAATGTTTTGTTTTTCAAAAATTTTCTTATACATTATATTCATAATTAATTGGATAAATAAATAATCGATCTGTTGAATCGATCGTTTGTTCTATTGATGATAAAGCATTAAAAGCTAATTCAAATACATGTTTTTGTTCTTTTATATCATTTATTGAACAACCATAATGATACATTATTTGAGCCACTATAAATGAAAATAAGAAAAAAGTGTGAATATGAATAGTTTTAATTGATAAAAGTTATTATTATTCATAGAAAAGTTTAAATCAAACAATAAAAAATAACTAGTAGAAAAAAAGAGAACAGAATTGAAGCCGACATATCAATTATGACTCATTTTGTTGAATATATTATAGTTAAATCAATCCCTTGATTAATCAATGTTACTTATAAATCACTACAGCGTTGATGTAAGAGTACTATTTCACTGCGATAGTACCTTCCATTATTTATTTCTATATATTTTTGCTGACTACAGGTGAACAGAAAACTTTATTATAGAATAATTTTAATAATAGCTTTGAATAGGAATTCAATATTCATCAAACATTTCCACGCTATATTTGCTTCCTGAGCTCGTATGAATGTGCAAAATGTATTCTATAAATAGTATCAAATATGAAGAACTCTATGATAAACCATTGTTTGACTTTGCTATGATAACGTACGTTGATATTAAAGTATGTTGATAAAATATATTAAATATACTACAATAAATTTTTACTGTATGTTAAAGACCAATGCACGTCTTCAACATTGGAAAAAATCGCTTAACTTACGAACAAAAAGGGCTCTACTGAACAATTATATGAAAGAAAAACAACAGAAGACTCAACAAATCCAGCCAGAATAATTACTATTGTAACAGATAGATAATATTAAGCAAAAATCATAGTAATATTACTGTCGAAAACTTCTTGTTAGATAGTCTCAATCTTTTTGTTTACGATCTGCCATATTCGAAATTTTTGAAGTTGGACTCGATTCGTAATAAACAAATTTTGGTAATCAAAAGACATTTTTTTTCAACAAAATATTGAATTGCCTGTTTTTTTTCTTTTAATGAAAAGTAAATCAATACATACTCTTCAATGGTAATTTCATCATTTTATATATTTCAAAGAGTGCATATACATGTGATGTTTGAATAGGTTGAGTTTCAACACATGTTCGTTCAAGATAAGCTAATAATTCTAAATCAATATGACCTAATTTATCATGTTGATATTGAATAAGTGTTTGAAGACGATATAATGATTGTTCATTTGATAGTGAACATATTGCTAATGCATATTCAAATGTAAATTGTTTTTGACTAAAATTATTTTCTATGAAAATAAATAAAAAGTAAATTTTGAAAAAAAAAAGAATTAACCTTAAATAATCATTTGTATTTTGAATACACCAAAAAGCATCATCAAAATTTTTTAAATCAATACTTGTTTTAAATAATTCTTTAATAATTAAAGCCTATTAAAAAAAAAAAAAAAGAAAAACATAAGAAAACCCTAAGTTGGAAATTTAAGTTGAGCGTAGAAACATACACGAATATCCTTCGAATGTGAACTTTGTAAACATTGATGAAGAAATGAAGCAACATGTTGATTTTGACCAAAATATTTTAAATATTCTCGAATCTAAAAACAAATAGATAGAAAAAAATACATAGAAGAAGATATTGTTCTTTTCAACTTAAAAATTTGAATTTCATATCAAATCTTTTAGTTTGAGGTTTTCCAGAAAAGTCTTGTCCTCAATAAAAATTTCATTTAAAGGGTTATAACTCTGAATCAATTCAAGGAGTCTACGACAATAGATCGCCATGGTAACAAATAAAATCCCCAAAAAAAAAGCAAAATTCCTCATTATTATAGACAAATAATCTATAGAAGTTTAAAAAATAACTAACAATCTATTCCAGAATAACAAAGATTACATATGAATACAGATACGAATGTTTAGTAAACTCTTTTAATTGGTCATGAAGCCCTATACAAAACTAAATATTACGTGCTTCAAAAGCTTCCCATATTTCATATAATGTTTCTTCTTTTCGAGTTTCTGTCTGCTGCAGTTTTCTCTATTAGACAATCAATACACTTTTCTCGTTTCGTAACATTTTGATTAATTGCAAATATGAATTTCAACATTCAATTATCGTTTACGAGCGATATCATCTACGAGCCTACTTCATGAAGCTGTATTTGATTGAATCAAATGTCAGAAAATTGAAATTTGTGGAAAGCGAATTAGGAATCATTCTTCTGTCAATTATGCGACCAATTGTCGACTTCAAGCTTTTATTAGTCGCATCGAGACCTATTCATAGCCATAATATAAAACTGAACGGTGTTCAACAGTTGAATATATTCTATCATAAATCTCCAGTGCACTAAATCAGCTGTTGACTTATGAATAAAAACTCAAAGCTTTTCTCTATCATCAAAAAATGTACTTAGATCATTTAGTCAAAATATCTTAGAAATATAGGATGTCTTTTTTTTTTAATTTTTACACATGACTTTTTGAACATTATATAGGCTACACTCAAATAAGTTAAATGAAAATAATTGTAATACTTTTCTCAAATTTTATATTCTTCTATTTGATGTATTGTTATTCTATTGAATCTTTCTCATTCTAAAACATACCCATTCAATATAAAAAAGTTCTGGTATTGGTTGTTTTCCAAACATTTCAATCAATAATGGATCAGTATGAAGTTCTTTTAATACTGCAGCTAAATGTCTTGTAGCTGTTTCAATATTTGTACCTGATCGATAGAATGCTAATGCATGAAAAAATTGTCTAAAAACAAAAGAAAATCTCTAAAATAATAATATTAAATTAAAATTTAACCTTGAAGAATTTAATTCTTTAAACCAATCAAGTTTTCCACAATATTGATCTAATATTGTCCATTGATGTCGACTCGGTAAATATTTGATTAAAAAATCATTACTCGGCCATCTAAATTAAAAAAAAAAAAGAAATTTTAAAATTTCATATTTTAAAATTTAAATTATACAATAGAGAAAATAGATTATCAACATATTTATGAATTGTTTCAAACCAATTTTCTGCGTCTAATGTAAGTTGTTCTTGTTGGATATTATCGACTAGAATTTGTTCAAGTAATGATTGATTTCCTATTTAATCAAGAAAATTTATATTGTTTGAAAAATAACATACTTCGATTTTTTTTTTCTTACCTATTCGAGTTTTATATGGTTGTTGATAAACAAGATTTTCAATAAAGAGATCACTTAAATAAAGCGAATAAGAAACATTTTCTTTTTTTTTTGTTAAGTTTAATAATTCTTACCGATCATTAACTGTCATTGTTGTTGATTCAATACCACATGATGAAAGCCATAGAAGTACTTGATAAATTTGTGATAAATCTTGTAAATAAGGTAAAACTTTTTCTTGAATTTTTTCTAATCGAAGACGACTAAGTCGAATCTAAATACATTGAATAAATACTTAGAAAATATGAAAAGTAGTGACGAAGATATTTTCATTCCCTATAAGAATGTTTAACAGTGTTTTTTTATGGTATATGACTGAGACCGAAAACGAACTGAACTCAAACTAGTTTTCGAAAAAAACGAATATGGTTCGATTCAATCTCTGATATGTGGCGATAACATTAGATCATATTGTTTTTGTTGTATATCCGATTCTTGATATTCTTATCTAATGAAACAGCTGCAGATTCAGACCCGAACCTAAACGAGTTCAAGGTTTTTCTATCAATATCTGGTACCTTTCGTAGATATGAACCGGTGAAGGATCAAGATTTTAGCTATTAATTGGCTATTCAGAAACAATCAGAGTACATTTATTTCTTGTTGGTCACTATCTTATTATTCGAGGCTTAATAAATGAAAAGTTTTCGCTTAGTTGGAAAGAGAATTATGTTTATTGAAAAGAAAATTGAATAGTTCATTGATAAACGAATTTCATCATTGAAAGTCGTCAAACCATCAGTAATACGAAAATCTCCAGTTGTATTTGTGTAAACGAGATCAAGTAATTGGGCAGTTGCAGATCTACATATTTATAGATCCGAACCCACAGCTCTCTACCACTAATACTTAGCCGTCTATATGTATTATAGTATAGAAAAAGGGTTGTAAGCTGAACAAAAAAGAAATACAGAAACAAGTTCATCAAATTTTTACTTTGGGAATTCTTCGGATCAGGCACCCTATGAGTTTTTGATTACATGACTTTATTAAAAAAAAAATTAAGTGACCGAAACGATTTTAAATCGTTGCATCATACTGTAAGCAACTTCATGAATTCTTTGAATAAAGAAAAATATTACGAAAATGTTCGATAAATGAATTCAAAGAATACGATTGAGTGTGTAGAGTCAGAACGATTATTTCGAAAATTTAATAAAATAAAGACTTGATGAACTTGTTTTCTGTACTTCTTTTTTTTGTTCTATCGTCACTATTATCTTCCATATAGTAATATGTAAAGATGGCTAGACT